TTTAGTCTTACATGACTGAAATGCTTTCTGAAATGAATCAGTGAACAGCATGCTTAAATTACATAGATTAAGTCTACATGCAGGAGAATTAGTACCTACTTAAACTATGGAAGAATTAATTACTAACATGGATTTTTAAATGTGTTGACACAGCAAATGTGTGTTTATTGTTGTCATCTTAAGATCAAAATTTAGGAAGAAAGTACAAAATGGAACATTCCCTGTTAATTCAGTCCCTGGAACAGCAGAAGCCCATGGCATTAACCTTTGGGTTATTAATATGTTGATGGAAGGAAGGATTAAGAAAAGGGCAGGTTGTGGGACACAAATGGCACAAAGGCCAGAGGCAAATAATCTTGTATTGACTCTGGTTATAAAAAATAGATTCAAGGCAGAAACTAGAACACTTCCAAAGGTGTTTCTGTGGTCAAACAAAGTCACCTCCCAACTGAGATTCTTTCTCTGCTCTGGATTGGAAAAGCAGGTATTTGAACTGTTGATTATGCTTAAGAGTTAACTAAAATAAACCTAACTTCAAGGCTAGTGCTTTACTGGGAAGACAGTGGTATGTGCTATCTCGGAGCACATGGAGTGTGAAGGCAGGTAAACTCATTGAATCTGCATCCCAAAATGTCATGTGTGCCCCCCCGGTGACTATGGTAAAATGTTTGCCACCTACTCTCCCTTACCTTGCTTGCCATCACTGTAATTACGTTAGCCGTACTGCATGGACTTTTGTGTTCCACCTTGGGGGACTGGGAAATGGCTTTCTCCATTCCATAGCCCATTTTCTTCTGGTTGTGGATGTCACTGTGGGAGCTGATGTGGCAGGTGCTGAGAGCTTAGATCAAATATAGATCATTATGTGGAAAAAATGAAGAGTAATCCTGATCCTTCTGTGAAAAACATTGTCGCTGTGCTGCAAATGGGATTAAAGTGGCTAAAAGATCATCACGAGGGGTCACCTTTTATCTCATTAAAGTCCCACTTTGTTTCTGACACCAGTGGAAAGTCAGCAAGTATTCCCTGTCAGAAAGTGATGCAAACAATAAAGCTTCACAGCAGGCTGCCAGCCAGGAGCTCCAGGGTCCTGGCCCCTACTGGCTTACTGTGACCTTGGGTGAGGCATTTCATTTCTCACTGCTTCCCTGTCCTGTAACCTGGAGTTAACAGTTATGTGTTTCAGAGGATTTCGGTCAAATAGCTGTTGTGTTTCAGAGGATTTTGGTCAAATAGCTGTTAATTTTAAAGCACTTTGAAAATTATAAGCTCTATATACCTTAAGGTTTAATCCCTCACACCTGAATAGTATGGCTGATACTGAAAATGCAGGAGTTCTTCCTGGGAACAAAGGCGAGGAACATCATGATGAGGTGACCTCAGTCTGAGCAAAACAGGTTTTCAGGCAATAACTCTCACTGGAGTAATTCAGGTGTAATTCCCAGTTCCTCTGCAGTGGTGGAGCGCAAGCTGAGCTCATTAGCAGAGTGGGTGTGGGACTGGGAGAATGGGAGGTCGGGTATGGTGCAAAGGGAATGAGAAATACACTGCTGGTTAGAGGTAGCCTGAGCTTGGATACATGGGACAGTGGGAAAGAGGTGGTGCTCCAACTTGAGAAGAGAATACTTAAGCTAACAGGTTGGGCAGGGTGGGTGAACAGTGAAAACAGGAATGACATGCCATAGCACCATTTTGACCAAACAGAATGGTGCTTAATGGTTTGTTGGTTTTTTTCCAGAATGTCTCCCTTTGAGATGCAGGGCTGATTGTTTTTTCTATTCCCTGCTCAAAACAAGCAGCACTTTCTAGGAAGTGGAGTTGTATGTGATTCCAGCCACTTTAAGCAGTAGCGTAAGTTAACCCTAGATTGGGTTCTGCAGTTTGGCAGGCATGTGTCTGGAGTCTCCCATAGCCCATACCCGGTGTGGGGTGCTGAGCTAATCGGGTCAGCAGGGTGGCTGTACAGCCCTAAATGCAGTTCCTGCACTGTGAGTGCCTTGGGCTGTGGGGCTGGCAGTTCCATTTCTAACTGCTGCACTGCTCAATTTCAAGGTCATTCAGAGAGGGAGTTGCCTATAAAATAGATTTTATAGTAATGCTTATACTTTGGTGCTTTGTAATCAACTTACATAGGCATTGAGAACAGTTTCTTTTCTGGGCTCTCTCTGGCTTTTTAGTTTTGCATGGCACTGTTTTGGAGAGTGGAGAGAGGAAAATACATGAACACTTCCATGTTGTGAAAAAAAGAGGTAGGTTAATGGTTACTGATGGATAGCAAATGCTTTGTGATTTAACACAGAACAAGTCAGCAGAGCATGGAGTCTTACAAAACACATGGGACAGGTTAAGTAAGCTCAGAGCCTGCACTGGTTGGAAAGCTGGTGAAGTACAGATAATCCCAGTTAAATATGCTTAATTGTTAGCCTTATGTATATGTCTTCCATTGCTCAGGATCATGTTGCAATTGTCATCTGGTGGTGATTAGAAGCACACTAGCATTGCTGCCACTAGTGCTACATTTCTCTTAGGAAAAGGTAGTTTTCTCAATGCTGTGCAATTTTTACCAGCATGTAGTAGTATAATTATTTCCTGTACTGTATACAATACTACCCAGGCAGCACTACCCACTACATATATAAGACTACCCAGTCATGTGCTGACCATATGACAGTCATGTCATTGCACTAATTTGGGCATTGCAAAAAAAAAAAAGTTATTTGGAGTATTTGCTTTGCCATAAAATTGTTATAACAGTAGAAAACCCCTTCAGATTGTTATGTCCTGGACTTTTAATCAATGCTTTAAATCCACCCCTTAGGCTCCATCAAAGAACATCTGTGGCCATTTGTAATATGTATTTTGCATCTTAAATCTGTTGTATGATTATAGCTTGCCTGAGTACTGCTTCTCTACTCTGGATACTTGTCCTACTGCGTGTTCAAGAGAAATTCAAACAAGGCCTTGTTCTCTCTCGCCTGGACACCTGGGAATCCCCGCATGAACCTCTGCCTCTGAGCAAGGAGCTGTGCTGAGCTGGCATTTCCCTGCTGGAAGCAACGCATCCCATAGTGGTCCATTCAATTTCCCTGTTGTCCTTCATCTTATGGTGTTAGCTGCATTGACACTAAAAGCTTTGCTCATGTGCTGAGCTCTGTGAATGCGGTTTGCAGGTGCCAGATTTTGGCAGTTGGGAGCCCTTGGGTTTTTAAGAAATGGGCTGAGCAGTGAGCCGGGGGCCTTCAGCTCTGACAGCTGAAATGAGTTCTCAGGTCTGGAGTTGCACCAGCAGCCATTTGAGTTGCAGTGGAAAATCTCTGCTCTCTGCTTGCGTTGCACTTTTCACTGGGGAGCCTGGAGCTGCCTTGATGTGTTGGTGCCTCCAGCTGTAGATGACTAAATGAAGCTGTGTGGGCTGCTCGCTGTCCGGCCAGGCTGTCCCTGCTATCTCTTCCCATAAACACTGGAGCCTTTGTCTCTGGCCTTATCGTGCCCCTGCCATCACAGAGCCTGTTCTGTGCTCTCCTCCCAGCGCAGCGCCTCTGTGTTCAGGGGTCTTTTCTTCAGCTGCTCTTTGTCTCCGGGTGTTTATTGTGCCTGCTGCAGAGTGTGTGTGTTTGGGAGAGAGGAGGAGGGGCTCCTGTTTGTGTGGGGTTTATAAACCCAGTGCATTCTTCAAAAGAGATGCTGAGCAAACTGGGTGATGTTAATATTAACCCTTCACTGCCTTGCATTACTGAGAGAGACGACTTCTCTGTGTGAAAAATGCTTTGGGAGGGTTACGAAGTTGCTTGCAGTGTGAGGCAGAAGCCATGCAGTTGTGCAGCAGGGAGTCTGCTCCCCCTTTGGTCTTAACTGCCCTTTGATTTTCTGAGACTGCTGCACATGTGTATCAGCAAAGAGCCTCCCAAATTCTGGAAGTTCTTTTTATTGCAAACACTGGCTCACTAGCCCTTTCTGTTTGCATAACAGGCCTTTGCATCCTGTTTATGTGGCTACATTAGACGATATCTCTTCATTGCACCATATCCCAAAACTTTATGGCTCTGCACTTTAGGGGTTTTCCTTTTGAGTGAGGTCCTGAAAACAGGAACTTCTTAAATTCATAGTGTTGCTGCTTGTAGTAGCATATAATACCTCCCCTTTGAAGCGGCTTCTTTTCTTTACCCAGCTTGTTAATAGTTGCATGGTTAGGATGGCTCTTGTTTCTTTAGTACCCATGGTGCCATATTCCAAGAGAGCGCTTTGGAAGATGAGGATCAGAACTCAGAAATTCAGTTACCCTTGTAATCACATAATGCTTTGCATTAAATTGGGGGGACACCAACCACTAAACAGAACAGCATCAACTTTCTAACCTCCTTTTGCTCTTCCTCTATAAGAGGATGGGAATTTATAACATGAAAAACCTCTTGTCTGTCTCTGCGAGAAGCTGCAGCAACACAATTGTCTTAGTGTTAGAAGTGCCAGGAGAGTTTTGTATTTCACTGAATCTGCAGTCAGCATAAATGCTTCAGACTTTTTTATGATGATCTGCATAAACTGAGGATACTGCAAATACATTAGTTTTATGTGTGACAAAATACTCATGTGTGATAAAAATACATTTTTTTTTTCCAAAATGGGTATCTTTTCTTAAGTTACTGAACTTTTCCCTAGAAATTAATAGGTTTAAATTCAGCATTTCACAAAGTAGTGTAAAGAATTTTTGTTTTCAAATAATCAATATCTGGTATTAGGGGTTGCAGTTCATGTATTGCAGCATCTATGTATTAATTATTACACTGGGAAAAAGTTCATCAAACTGTGTTCCTTTGCAGGGGGTGGGAGAGGAAGAAATGCAAAATAATACAAGCCTTTGAAACATGAATCCACACACACAGTTGTGACTAAACCTATTCAAACACTTGGGGTTTTTTTCCAAGACTGCTCTAGTGTTGTTGTCATGTGACTTGTTTTCTTTATGAACTTAACTCAATTTGCCTCATCTCTTTCTCTTCAAGGAACAGTTTCAGCTGCAAAGCGCACAGGGATTCCAGCACCCCGGGAAATATCATCTGTATCCAGAGAGCGAGCTGTATTGCGTGGTCAAGCCAATACTAGGAAAACACAGCCCAGCCCCACCTCTTCTGGTACACCGACTCCTACCAAGCATGTGCGCCCCACTAGCAAGTCCAAGCAAGAGAATGAAACTGGTGACAAAGCTGTTCTGGAATCTCAGGTTAAAGAACTTCTGGCAGAAGCAAAGACAAAAGATTCTGAAATTACCAAACTCCGTTGTGAATTGAAGAAATGCAAAGAGAAAGGGTCACTTAATGCTGAAGTAATGGGTGCTTCCAACCAAAATTTAGAAACAGTATCACCTGTTGACATAGACCCATTAATACGGACCCTTCAGGAAAAAAACAGGACTTTTCAAAAAGAGCTTGCTAGCCTGGGAGAAGAAAATCGTGTTTTGAAAGAAAAATTGCTTTATCTAGAGAACTCTCCTCTCTCAGACACCACAACAAGCAGTGGCGCTGACAGCAGCCTCCCAACCCCAACTACCCAAGAATCCAGTTTTGGAAGCCCATCAAAAAATGTGTCAAGAGGTGAAATGGATGAGCGCAGGCAGCACGTGAATGGGGGTGCACTGCGCAATTCAGGTTCTTCCAGCAGTGATGTAACTAAAGCTTCCTTATCACCTGATGCATCTGATTTTGAACATATAGCAGATGTACCTTCCAGGCCAACATCCTCCAACAGCAACCACTTCAAAGGTTCCAAATGCTCCACTACGGGAAGTTCTCCAAACAATATTAGTGACCTTTCTGTTGCGTCTCTTACAGAGAGAATCCAAAAAATGGAGGAGAATCACCACAGCACAGCAGAAGAACTACAAGCTACTTTGCAGGAGCTGTCAGATCAACAGCAAATGGTGCAGGAGCTGACAGCAGAAAATGAGAAGCTAGTGGAAGAGAAAGCTCTCCTGGAGACTTCCTTTCGTCAACATAGAGATAGAGCAGAACAGCTGAGCCAAGAAAATGAAAAGCTAATGACTCTCCTCCAAGAACGATCCAAGAATGAAGAAAGCAGAGCTCAGGAGGGGAAGGTCCTTGAACTGGAGCAGAAATGTGCAGAAGTTCTTGAAAAAGCACAATTTGAAAGAGAGAAATTGCTCAACATTCAGCAACAGTTAACCAGCAGCCTACGGAGCTTAGAAAGGGAGCATCAAGATGCCCAGCAGGTGATTAAAAGCCTGAGAGAAGAAAACGAGAAGCTGCTTAAACTTTTAGAAGTGGAACAGCAGAGCAACAGCACAGTGACAAAAACTCTGGAGGACTGTAAAATTGCCTTAGAAGGTCTAAAAATTGAGAATGGCTCTCTCAAAACTCAGTTAGAGAGTGAGAAACAAAAGGCCGCGGAAATCAACGCAATGGGATGTACTACTGACAACTCTGAGGTGCAAGAGATGCTGAAAGTAGCCCATGCAGAAAAGGATCTGTTAGAAGCATCTTGCACTGAGCTTAAACAAGAGCTGCTGAAGGCAAACAGTGAACTGAAGCATGTTCAGGGTCTGCTATCTAAGGTAAAGTAGTAACAGCTGTAAAATACAATGGTTGTTTATCTGTCCTTCTATAAATAGGTAATTGCTAGTCTTTAGATTGTTATTGAGCCATTGATTATAAGTTTCCAGAATTTAAATTGCATTAATTAGTTTTGAATGGAAGCTGGAGTTGTATTATATTGTCTGTTTCTGCTGCTATAGGCATATTTTTCCAGGAATTAACTGTTAGTGTAGCTGTGTTTATAAATTCAAAACTAATTTCCCCTGATAACTTCAGTGGAATTTACTATTTTGGAAAACAGAATTGTGTTTATCAAAATTGGAGCAAGAGAAGAGGTCAATAAAAGATTACTTTGGTATTAATGTGAACAAATATTAGTGAAAATCAGCTAGTAATACAGATAAGAGAAGAGCATGAGTAGGTAACAGTGAATAAGGTAACAGTGAATATGAAATTCTGAGTAATTAATCATGGTTAATTAGTAGTGAACTATAGATGTCATTGGTCATGAGAACAGAAGGTCGTGAGCTAATGCTTAGAGAGGCTGATACTTACAGCAACATGACTAACGATGCATGGTGAAGCTCCAGATGAGATTCTTTTCATAATACTAAAATATTTTTACAAAACTGAGAAGTATTCTGTTTTGGGATAGGTAAAGTAATGGCAAAAAAATTGATATATTTTATAACAGTTTTTCTCTGCCTCATTTGGTAGTCTCCAAGCAAGCTTAAGTCAATTACTGTTTCTATTTTCTGTGTGGTTCTGGATGTTTAGAAGAGAGCTGCAATGTGAGGCACTGTAGGCCAAGTGTTAATAAAGCACAAGGCAGTGAATATGTCCCACCACTGCTGAAAGAGTGATAGTCGATGTGTGCAGCCTTTCCTGTATGGGGAAGGGATCATGAGAAGAACGGTAAAATTGGCTAGTTGCAGAGGAAGAGAGCATTGCCAAAAAGCACCTCCATGATTTGCGTGATTTAGAAAATCCAGATGTCCTTTCAGCTTAAATAGGTGACCACAGCAAATGGAGTTAGTAGAGGAAGCTCTCAAGTGCTCACTAGAGCTGCAGTTTATGAAGAATAAATGAAAAACTGCTGAGTGCTCCGACTGTATACCAAACTTTTATTGCTTGGTTTTGAAACCACAGATTTCCTCCTTTTTACTCTTCCTTTCCCTCGAATTAAGCTGTTTTGAATCATTGGCTATTTGTGACACCCAAACAAGACCACAGGCTTCTGTAAGGCTGCCCTTCAGTCAGGCTGTGCCAGTGCTACTCACTGAATTGGCAGCCTACACCTTGCTTTTCTGTAACTTGTTTGTATTCAGAGATCTCCCCCAAACCTGGAAGCATAGATCTGTGGGCCTGAGCCAATAAATGGAAATGCAGCAGATTCCCCCTTCAGTAATTCCAGATGTCCTATATTCAGAAAATATCTGCAGTAGCTAGCTCAACTATGTATGTTTTCACAATCCATTGCAAATGCACAAGGTAAAAGCAGTAAAATTGTTAATGTGGACAAACTTGATTGTCATTTTGTCCCTAAGGCAGTGATATCACTCTCATAACATCATATATGAAGAGATGTGGAGCTTTCTGGGAATATCGTTCCTCTCTGTCCATTACGTGCAGAGGTTGGTTTGGGATTATGGTCATCATATAGAAAATTTAATTTCCTTTCTAGCATCTTGTTTTATTATCTTTATGCCTAGGAAAGAAAACTGACATCTGTAGCTAATCTATGTTTCCTGAAACTGTCTCATTGGCATTGAAACTCAGGTTATACAGTGCTTAGAACACAGTTCAATTCTTAGAGCCCATGAGATGCCTGGTAAAATCTCTAATGAGTGATAACTGTTAAGAAATAAAGACAGACTTGCAACTTGCTTTCCTCCATTCCAGGCTGAGACTGAGTGTAGTCAGTTGAAGGAAGCGTGTGACCGGCAGGCTGAGCAACTGAGCAGAACCAGCCAGAAGCTGCAGGAAAAAACATCAGAGAATGAAGCAGATATAAAAAACCTGAAAGACACCATTTTCGAGTTGGAGGACCAGGTGGAACAACATCGTGCTATAAAACTTCACAATAACCAGCTCATCAGTGACTTAGAAAGTAGGTGGAGCTGAGAAAAGGATTTAAGTGACCTTATCCTGGAGGCTCAGTTATGGCTGCAACAGGGAGGAGGTGGCATGTCTTGATACAGGTGACAAGAGCCTCACTTTTAGAAATACTCCAATTTTGGCCAATCTTTTCTGTTCATGCACAAAAGTCACTATTTTAACAGTGCTGTAGAAATAATATTAGAGACGGTCTCCAAGCCTCATTCTTCAGCGAAGGATGTATTGTGCATTCTAGAAACGAATTATCGGGCCCTTAAAGAGCTTCTAGGGAAAAGCACTGGTAAGAGCTGTAAAGTCGAGGCTGCTGTCGCATTGTGGAAGGGGAGCTGCCACCTGGTGGAATTCATGGCACATTTCGCTTACCAGTGTTACATCGAGGGCTCCAGGGGTGTGTGTACTAAGTGATCCTGCACATGTGACTCTTTACATTTAAGAGTTTGGTTTAATGCTTCAAAATAATCTCCTATTAGTGGCATTACTAGAAGCAAAATCAAATAGGCTGCTCTGCCCTTCCATTTTCACCTTTCACCCTTGTCTTTACGTGTTTAATATTTTCCCTCTTTTACTGTTCCTAGGTAAAGCAATGAAGCTGGAAGAACAAAAACAAGATACAGAGAGGCAGCTGAAAGCTCTGACTAGGCAAATGAAGGTAAGGCTTAGATTCTGTGACAAAGCTAAGCTGAGCTTTTATTGCAATACTGGATTTGAGATAAGTGTTCTACTTTTCTGGAACAACTGTAGAAAGTTCTTTCTATATCCTGTCATTCTCCATTCTCTCCACTTATTTCTAGCTGTTTCTTTGCCTGTGAAAGAAAAATATAATACATCCTTTGCAGATTACTTTTCCTTTTGGTACCTATGAACTTCTGCTACTTTGGATCAGCTGTTCCCACTTCATGAGTCATCAGTAGCAATAAACTCTTTTCAGCAACAGTGACAGTGCTTGTAGTAGTATCACAAGTCTGAATGATCAGTGGCTATAGGAAGAACTTTGATTGTACTTTTTGTATTGGATTGGAGAGCTTAGCATCAGTTTCTTCTTTGGCAATCTTATCAGTACTGTGTAAAGAGGCAAGTATTTAGTTTGACCTCAGCATCATCTTGAAATTGTGCTGAAATCCTGGTCGCATGTGATCACTGAAAGAGAAATCAATAACTAAGTGCTCAGCTCAAGTAGGTGCATTTTTACAGCAAACAGTTTGTGTTTCTAACTGCTCTTTCTAGGAAGATACAGAAGAGTGGAGGCGTTTTCAAGCTGATCTGCAGACTGCAGTGGTTGTAGCCAATGATATTAAGTGTGAAGCCCAGCAGGAGCTCCGTGTGGTAAAGAGAAAGCTTCAGGAGGAAGAGGAGAAGAGTGCCAGACTGCAGAAGGAGCTGGATGAAGTGAAGGGCAGCAACAGGTTGGTTATGTACACAGGCCAAGATTTGATCTCTGTGACTGCTAACATGCATGCAAACAGTGCTTTGTCAATAACTATTCATTGGCTTGGATGTGCATGTTGTCTGTTTTTAACTCTTCTGACAGATTTTGTTGTCCCTTATTCTAAGATGTTTCTGTTCTTTTTCTTTTCGATGATCTAGTCCTGTCAACTAGGCCATGAAGGTTTTAATCAGCAAATATTAAGTAATAACAATTGCCAATATCCTCTTACAGCTTTGTTCTCAATATGGTATTCCACTGTGGTTTATTGCCTTCTGTATTAATACAATGCAGCTGTATTAAACCATCTGTGAAAAGATTGGTTGGCTTACATATATTCAGTGGGGCATCCAGAAGAGAACTACTTAACCCGAGAGGAGTCAAGGACTCTATATGCTCAAATTAAAATGAGGACTAGCTGGGCTTCTTTGTTCTGCAAGTCTGATATTTTTTGACTGAGTACTAGGATTCCTCATCTTGTATCTGCTGTCCTGCATTTGAAACCTGTTATATGATTAGCTGTGTTAAGTGGTCTGGACTGTGGCCTGGGTTAGCATTTAGCCCACAAGCAACTTTGTCACTCAGTGGGCCCACCTGTAAAACAATTGCTATAGCCTCAGTGGTTGGAGGGGGAATGGTAATTGTGACCCATTCAGAGGTATACCCCAGCATGGAAGCTGTATATGTGGGGCTTTCCTCTGGGGGAGCACAGTAAGAGCAAGGTTGACTTTTACAACTGAATCTGGAACCAGTTTAGATGCCTTACAATGTGTCTTTTATGCACCGCCTTTTATGTACCACCTTTCATTCCAAAAATCATACTACAACTGAAGTACTAAACAAGAAGAGATGGAAAACAAAAGATACATTAGAAGGAAGAACCAAAATTTCTGAAGAAGAGTGCTCTGCTCTGATTTTCTGGGTTTTTTGCGTTGGCACAAGCAGAGCTGCAGCAATGAAAATTTGTACAGAGGGAATGAAGAAAGGCAAAATAACACAAATGGTGGTACTGTTTATCAAAAATGTTTGCCAAATTAATTTTGATCCTCTGGATTTTTCCATTTAATCTCTCTCCTGGTAAGTTCATGGCCACTGGTAGAATAGCCGCAGTGAATCCTGTCATTTCTTTCAGGTGGAGTAACAATCCAGATCTATGTTGCGCATATTTGCTCACTGTTTTCCATTCAGGAGTTTCCAGAGCAGCTGAACAGTAGATGGGAGTGAAAAGATGAGAGGGCTTTTGTGTGGAGGTGTATGGGTCAGAATTCATGGACTGAAGGAACAGAAACACTTCAGAAAATAAAGGAATGTGTTTAAGCTCCAGTTTCATTATCAGAGTCCCCAGTGGATGCAGAGAAAAGCTATTACAGAGTATGTATTCAGACAAAATTATTACCAGACAGCACTTAAGTTCTGGGCTCTGTTTCCATTCCTAATTTGTTCTTAAATGAAATTCCTCTTGTTTAGAGTGGGGTCCATATATAAGAGCAGGAATCATACACTTGTAATTTCCCCTCTTTATGCTTTTGGGTTTTAATCTGAAGATGTATTTGATAGATTTAAATTGAATAGAAGATGACCTGTGAAGTTGCAAAGTTGAGATATTTATCTTCCATGTATAAGGAACATGACTGCTTTGTCAGCTCTTGGGATAAGAAGCCTGAGCTGCAAATACTGCTTTTGAAATTAGATCCCCAGAATCCATACATACATAGTTCCAGAAGGAGGTATTCGGATATATATGTAAGTCAGTTTTGGCATTTGTCTCTCCCTCTTTCACATACATACAGATATATGTCTGTCTCTGCGTCATGTTGACTTATCTGTATAGCTTGCTTTGAGTATTGCATTGGTCATGGAACCGGTTATACTGTCTGCAGTGGGCAATATCTATTCTCTTTCGAAGACAGGTGTTGAGACCAAATTTTGCATCTATCAATTTAAGTATAAGTAATTTGACTCACAGCGTCCATGCAGAGTGTGCAAAACTTCTGTACTGAGTGGTATGGAGAAGATAATGAAGCCTATGTAAGTTGTTGTCTAAACAAAACAGTGATCAATAGCTAACCACGGAAATTTTAAAACTGTACTGACCTATAAAGCAACTTCTTGAAGTCATCAAAGCTCCAGCTGAGAGTCGGTTCTGCATTCCCAATTATTTTTGCATTCCTGAGGTCGCTGTCTTCCCCAGCACCTCAGCTTCTTTCACCCAGAAAGTTCTGGGGATATTCTCATCATTGCTTTTAGTCAGCTTTCGCAAATGCTACTGCTCAGAATCAGTAGTAGGTTCTGGTACCTGCGGTGACTTTTAATGCATGCTCAGCACTAGTGGAAACAGTTTGTAGCATGATACCTTAACACAGTCTATAAAAGTATTCCTTGTATTTGCTAATGCTGAGCAGCTGTGCACTCAGCTGAATATCTGACAGTCCCTAGTGAAAGTTTCCTGTCCGATTTTTAAGCTCTGATTGGAAAATGTACCTTCCAAATAGCTTGCTACTCAAAGGTTTTTGGCAAAAATCTCAGCTATCTCTTGAGGGTCGTTAGACTCCACCTCATAAATTGATCTTGAAGCCAATTTATCTCCTACAACATCCTGCCATTTTAATGTTTGCCTGTGGCTGCCTGAGTTCCTGCCGCCAAGTTTTGATTTCACCGTTACATTCTTCTAATCAGACAAAAAGTCATTTTTGGTTCAGGAACAACCAAAGAACTTGCAGAAAAAATCCTGATGAGGTCATCAGAGTTCATCTGAATGAAGGTAAGAGCCTCCCAAAGGCATCTTTAACACAGATTAAATGTCTAATTCTATGACTTAAGAATGTCGGGGGGAGGTTGGACCAGCATCAAACAAATGGAATAGGGAAGAGAGGGGAGTTAACTTGTCCCAAGTTAGTACTGATTGAAACCTACAAATTTATTAACCCGAGTTTCAGACAGTCTTCTATGATACTTTACATCCTAATTAATGTTATTTCTCTGCAGTAAAATGCAAAAGCTTACAATCCACTGTTGTGTAACTGTCTCCTCACAAGAGGTGGAAATTGAAATTACATAGCCTCCATCCTTGGAGGTTTTCAAGACCAGACAGGGTAAGACCCTGAGTAACCTGGTCTGGCCTCATAGCTGACCCTCCTTGGAGCAGGAAGTTGGACTAGGTGACTTCCTGAGGTCCCTTCCAACCTGAATTATCCTATGATCCTGTAGCAAGTTTCATCTTTTCAGAACATTCATTAGAAATAAATATTTGATCCTAGAACAGCTACAAAAAATTAATTGGTAGAAAAAAATAATGGATGACCCTTTTTGGCTTCTTTACATGCCCATTTCCAAGCGTTTCTGGCTATACACTGTTTAGCACCAGTGAAAGTTTCAAGGTCTTGCTTTGACTCTGTCCCTTCAAGTTCTCAAAATTATTTTGGCGCTGTAACATTATGTGCCTTGAAGCCTGAAGGAACATGGAGGGAAGACAGTCGGGCTAGGAGTAGTACTCAGAAAACAGAGAAATTATATCTGTGATTAAATGAGTGACTTCTTAGAATAACAAAATAATATGACTAAATCTTCAAACGGAAGCCTAAGTGCAGATTGTGATGTATCCCACTAATTTGCTTCTGTTCTTCCTCCTAAAGTCTCAAATGCTGCAGCATGGCAGTGTCACATGCTTTTTCTCCTGGAAATAAGTTTGTACTCTATGTGTATTAAACCCTGCTGTCAGTCTGTATGTGCTGATGTGCTGCTCATTTGTGCCTGTGTTTTGCAGCTGTTCCGTCTTACAGAGGTCTGATAGTTCATTCTGCTCTCACTGAAAGTAATCAAAGTAGAATGTCAGAGCAGTGCCCTTGAAGTATTGTTTGTTTGCTCTAGCTAGTGACTTCGCAGAGTGGGTTTGGGGTGTTTTGGGGTGGTTTTTTTACACTGCATGGAGATTATTCCATCCCTTTTGGTGTAAGGATCCTGAAACAGAAACCCTGACTGAGGCAGAGCAAATCTAGTTGCCTGGATGGGTTCATGTACTGATTTTGAATGAATAAGTCCTAAATTATTAAAGGAGGGGAAAGCTGGGAACACTACCATCCTTTGAAATTGTTTCCCTGGCTTTAAATACTTAATTTCTTCCTATCTGAGCAAGATAGATTTTTTTTTTTCTCTCATGTTTTGTATTGTTGTTTGCTCATCACATCTGGAACCTGAGTTAGTGGAGTGTTAAGGCACTCCTTTAACTGACCTAGCAACACCATCAGCATTTTCTCCTCTCCCCTTTATTTAGTGATGATAGGATGATTAAGTAAAATAGAGAGCTGCACCTCAGGATGGGTATTGTATTGCTGCTTATAACTTCCCCCATTGTTGTCTTTATCTCCATAGGTGCCTGATCTCTACCAGCTAACACATCCCTGAATGGATGCATAGCCAGCCCTCTGAGACACTTCAGGACATACCTTCAGCTTGCAGCTGAAAAAGGGAAGTTTCAATTCGAGAAAGCACCTCCAGTTTTTTATTGCTGTGCAAAAGTGAAGTATATCGCAAAGTGTGAATGCTGCTCAGGTCCACCTCCTCCTCATGGACAAGAGCCTATTTCTTTGTTTCAGAAGGCTTCTCTCTTCAGAAAACTCCATGAGGCAAAAAAAATTCTGAATTAGTCTAAAACCAACTAGGCTGTAAGAAGTAATCACAGAGATTTGGGGAACTGAAATAACTGAGGGCTCTTTTGGAGGGAGATGGGGATATTTACCCTGAAACAGAAATTCAAACATGCCATTTTAAGCCTAAGCAAAAAATAAAACCGTGTGTATACACATTAAAGTTTTCCATAGAGTATTCTAATCATAGATCTGTCTGCGTGTCTAAATACGTGTATGCATACAGGTCAGTATGTATAAATACACACAAAATCAAGTGATAGGTTGCTGAAATCCAGCAGGAAAACTGAACATGAAGTTATTTATTTGGTATCAGCTGCTTTGATGGTTTCAGGTTGTTAATGATTGTGTTGACAAGGCACTCACCACTGGGTGGCATGTCTGACTCAGTGTGTGTTAGGAAGCAGTGTGGTGTTGAAGGAGCATGTCCTGCTATGACTTTCGCAGAGAATGTCCCATGTGAGGTTTGTGCTGGCTGTGAGAATTGCAGATGGAGAGATCAGAGGGAAAAGAAATTAATATATCAAGCCCCTAGTAAATATCCTCTCAGAAGGAGTCTTTCTCATGCCCTTAACTCAGGTGAAGTATATGTTCAGGGAGAACTTGCTGAAGTTCAGCTTTGCAACTGGAGACACCTGGAGAGAGCTTTACTTGGATGCTAAGAAGAAACTCGGAAGTCATCATCTCTACCACGAGATCATCAGGATTCATTCCAGGACTCGAATTTCATGTTTTGCCTTGGGATTCCCGTCCTTTTCTCCTGGATGTGAAGACCTAGCAAGGGCCTGGTCTCAGAGCAGGCTGAGCTAGCAGAGAATTCTGCGGGATGTCCTGGCTCTGGCATGGCCTTCATCTTCGTGCCGTGCTACTGGAGTGTATGCATATATGCGCACTTGTGTTGCCTTTCTTTTCTGTGCTGGCAGCTGTTGAATGTTGGTTTTTATGTTTAAGAAATATATACTGAAGTGCCAAATAAATGTTTAAGTGTCTGGAATTGTCTGCTGCCTGCCCTTGGCCTCTCTTCTGTTCTGTGCATCAGTAGCTGTGTGTCTCTGTGTCCCTTGGAGTTCAGGAGGCTTCACAACAATGACAGGAACTGTGTCAAAGACTAGATTGCAGAGTAATTATTTCTGAAAATATGGTTCTGTGGTCCTAGGCTACCTGTAACAAAGAGGTCATCGGAGCAGTTTAGAAATTTCACAAACCCATGAAGGCTGTTGTTGCCAAAATCTATGCATTAAGCACAGGAAGACTTGCACTTTAGGGGTCTATTGTCCGCATATTCCAAGCCTAGAAAACAAGGAAACTAACTTGCCATTAGAGGAAAGCTCACTGCACCTACTTCTCTCACCAATGAATGAATGAAATGGGGCAGTGGTTTTGTGAAAAGGGCTCTGCATACTTTAATTCCTTTGTGACTAAAGTGCTCTGCTTCCTCCTGGAGCTGCTCCACTTAAGCCAGCTGCACTTGCAGCATTTATCTGTGTAAACCATTCATTCTTGTTTCAAGGCAAGCATACAGCAGTAGATGACATTTTGCTCAAATCTGTCCTTTCTGTGGCAGAGCTTCCTTAGTTGTCTTGGATGGCCTAAACTAAATAAATTGTATGCACAGGGAGTCATTTTTGGTTTGAATTTATGGCTTGTCATTAATCTTTCCAAGTCACATTCTCCTATACTGTCCTCCTGAATTAGCTTACTGCTGCAAGTTAAGGTATTATCCTTCTGCTTCTCTATTAAGAAATCTATATATGTACACATACATGCATCCCCTTACCATACAGATTTTTCTCTATAAAAGTGGAAGGTACTCACCAATTTTCCTAACTCTCCGTTGTTTGTTGGCTGGCATGTGTGGTTTTAGTTGAAGCAAATAGGTCTCGGCACTATTCTTCCTACATTTCATGCTAAGGTTTGCAGCATGAGAGGCGTCAGTTTTCTGACATGATTGTGTTTAATCTAGGTTGTTTCAGGGTGTATTAGAAGCCTATTGCAAATATACAGACTTAAGATTACAGGAAGTGTCCTAACAAAATTGGAACTGGTAGCAGCTCCAGCACTTGAATCTTCATAATTAATCTGTACAATGACAGAATAATGGCATGTGATTTCTCAATGGACTGTTCTGTGGCACAGCATAGGGGCTGGTCTAGTTACTCTCTAACTTTATTTAACATGTTTGCATCCTTTTGCAATCAAAGGGGAAAGTGCAATGGATTGCATTGGGTGGCTTGGTATCTTGAGGCAGATACCTATCCTTCCTCCATAATTTACTAGAAGCAGCAGGACTCCTTTAGCTTTTGTGTTTTCATATAACTGAGGTGCAGATGCTATCACCTGTTGATTTATTGTTTAGGCTTTATGAAGCCACAGAAGAAAAAATGAAGGGTAGAACTTAAATTTAGTCAGCAAAACACTGACTGCCTCAGAGCTCAGTGAATCTTACCCAACCTGCCTTTCCTCCTTATTGGATTAAATGGATAATGGAACTGAAATGGCTTTTTCTCTAGCCATCTGCTTTTGCAGGCTCCCCTGGCACACAAGGAGCTTGAATGAATTAGTAAAGAAATAGCCAATGTCTGCTTAAAGACAGCACCTCCTTAAGCTCTGCCAGAAATAGAAACGAGTCACTCTTATTCTTTTATTCACTGACACCCTTTAGCTCCTTGTGTTTTGTGGACTGTGATGTCAAAAGGGAAAGAAGATGACTCTGACTTCTATTTTTAGCTGAACAGAAGTTGTTCAACCCCATAGGCATGTTCTGGGTGGAGTCTTCCAGCCTTTTATGAAATAATTTCTGGTTTTGTGTTCATGTAGCTCTTAGTGCCTACCATACTTGAAAGTAGGAAAAAGTGGTGATGACCCAGCATGTGTTTCTTAAGCAGCTAGGAGATCAGGAAAGTAATGTTTAAACACTCTCTTTTAACGTGTCTAGACTTTGTTATCTAATTGCAGCTTTCCTAAGCTAAAGCTAGGTAATTACACTCGAAGTCTACCTGAGAGCTACCGGGTAAGTACAGCGTCAGTGCTAAGCAAGCAATGTCAGCCAGATCCCTAAAATGCATGACTAGAAGCAACAGTTGTACTGTGTGATTACATTTGCTGTTTAACACAGCTGTGGACTTCCCTGTACTAATTCCTGTAACTCCAGCACCTAATCTTGACTTCAAAATTTCTTTTCAATGGAGTAGCTTCATGGTCTTTCCTGTTAAAGTATGAGCCTTGTTTCTATTTTGAATTTGTCTATCTTTATTCCAGCCATTGAATTTTGATATTCTTGCGTCTGCTAGGATTGAGCATTTAACAGTTATATTCTCCATATAACTGCTTATGGATTGTGGTTGAGGGTTTGCTTGTTCAGCGGATGTCATTGTTGATAAGCTGTAAGAGTTGAGTTTTCAAAGTTTACATTATGAAGTATATTTTCTGGTTTAATTTTTAAGGCTCTTATCTGAACCCTGTCCAATTACTATTTTATTTTCAACTACGGCGTTTTAACTGATAACAATTACTCTGGTAGTGGTCATGCCAATTAAAAGCATAGAGCATAAAATAACATCTTTCTCATTGGTTACTTTCCTCATTATATACTGAGGACCACAGTAGTCCCTTGGCCCCTGTGCTGTATTGAAAGCCCATCTTTGGGTAATTATCAATGATTGCGCACAAGACTCATCAAACTGCTTTTTTTGATGATAATCCTCCATCCTGTGTGAGGATGGGGAATGGGAATGATATGGTTACAACACAGAAAAGTTTGTTAGACTCAATGATTTGATGTTTGCCAGGCACTCCAAGAAAAGAACATGAACATTCTAATGAGTGGTCCATGTTCTGGGCATTACAATAAAAGATGTGTGCCGTTGGATTTGCCTTACTACATATAAAGACCTTTAATCTCTGCTTGCGCTTCCTGTTGCCCCTGACTTTGATCTGGTTTCTGCTTTGCAGGCTGACAGCTGAAGAGGTAGAATCTCTAGAGACAGATACAACCAACCGCTGGCAAGGAGTCTGCATTAGCAGAGCATCTCCCACACCATCAGAATCTGCAGCTACTGTGAAGTCGCTGATAAAATCATTTGACTTAGGATGCTCAGGTATTTCAACACTATTTTGTAGTAAAAAATTTTTCTAGCAGTGAGAATGTAATTTTTTTCCATTTTGTGCCGCTTTTTGCATCTTAATGGATATTTTCTGTTAGTGCTTGGTACATAAATACTATCTGTGGAATGTCACTGCACCAGTAGTTCCCTGTTCTGACAAGAGGGAGATATTTGGGTTTGAAGTGCAAATGTTTCCATGTTTTTTCCCTGTAGGTAGCACTGGACAAAATATCACAGTTCACAAGGTCCCCAGGAGCCCTCTAAGTGGAATTCCAGTGAGGACAGCCCCAGCAGCTGCTGTTTCCCCTATGCAGGTACAAGGACTGCTTTCCATCCTTGCAGTTTTAAATGGGTAGATGCAGTGTTTGCTACAGCATGACGTAGCTTCAGCGTGCCAACATGCATATGTTGACAAGGGGAAGGGGAAACTCAGCTGTTTATTTGCTGCAAAACATCAAATGCTGTAGTACTAACAAAAAGGATCAAAGTGAGTTTGTCTTTGACTTCAGCTTAGAGGTCTCAGTGGACAGATGTGAACTCTTTGGAGTACAATTCTGAACTTTAATCACTGTTGACCAGAAAATAGGTTTCGATTATTGGGAATGAGTTACAAGAAACATCAAACTAACTAGGTAGCTGGCATGTGAGTTGAGAGACAAGGGATAATATGTTTCTAAGATGAACACTCCCAATTGTCCAGTAAGTTCATATGGTGCTGAATGAAGCGCTCTTACAGTTTCGTGTCTTTTCTGCTGAAGCATAACTGCTCTGGAATGTACTGCTTCTTATGCCACTGCACCAGTTAGTTAACTTTCTGTTAGCAGTTTTCAAATCTGTGGTGCAATGTTACTGGGAATGCTGCTTTTGTGAACAGTGGAGGCACAACACTGTGATTCCCCATTTCCACATATGCTGAAGGTGGCATACCGTCAGACTGCTAACCTTTCTAGGCTAGAGAAGCAGTTGTATGTTATTTGTCTAGGTGGTCACTGGTCTTACAACAGGATATTCCCCTCTGAATCTGCGTAAAAAACAGTTTGAGGCTAGGTTGTTTAGGTGAGTGTTCTGAAGAATGAGATGACTTTGCAAGACTGCTTAGCAAATGCACGAGTACATTTCCTTCAAAGAATCAGCAAAGGAAGTTTAAAGAATGGGATTAAACAGAGGTCTGGGAACCTTCTATTAATGCCTGACTGAGGGAGTATTAATGCTGAAAACTGGTGCTAGAGCTGCAGAGATGAGAATCCTTCTGACTTATGATTCGGGGTGCCGGGGACAGAGGCAGGGTTAGGAACAGGCGTTCTTACTTTGGGTTTGTGCCACTACATTATGTTTGGCAAGAGAAAAAATGGTGCAAATAGAAATGTGAAGTAGTTCAGGAACCAATATATTACCAGCTAAAAATATTATCCCTTTGTCTTATTTTTCACAACTATTTATCCAGCTTTAGGTACAGCTGATACCTTATTGAAAGGTTCCTGTATCCCTCCGCCTGCTTTGTGATCTTGAGATAGCAGAAACATCTCTCCTTTCTGCTTGCCTTTTTAAGCACAGTGGCTAGTATTTTTTATTTATCTTTTGTATGTATGTTTGTTTCACAGAGGCATTCTGTTTATAATAATGCCAAGCCAGCCAGCAAGGGCATTGCCAGACACACAGATCTTTCAGACCTTCCTCTTGCAGGTAAGTTACAGTAAATGTACAAATGTTGCCTCTTTTTACTAGCAAAAGCTTGTCATTAACTGTTGGCCTCTGCCTGGGCCATTTTTCCTCTTCTGATATGGTGAAAGGAAACATGAAGTGTCTTCAGAGTCTTTGTTTTAGAGAGCTTATTAATTTTGTTGTGTTTCCATTCCCATCTTGATCATAGCCTTAGAAAACTAAAAAATAGCTGATTTATTATGGTTTGCCAACACAATCTTGCCGCCTTTATTCCAAAGTATCCATGGCACCGCTCTAATCCATGCTGTGGAACTGGAGAGGATTGGATTTTGTTCAACATGTATGTATCTGGAACAAGTCCCAAGTACTGTCTTTTGAGAGTTTATTTGTTTTTAAATTGAGCTTCATTTGAAATACATCAAACACTTCAGATACCGATGTAACTGTTTTAGGAGCAGTCATATTTGGGCTCGAAATAGTTCGTTCTGAAAGTTCTTAAGAGATGCGTTTGTTTTTATTTCACACTTTGCTTTTGTTCTCTTGTCATTTAATATTCTTCCCTACCAGTGTTTGTTTCCCATTTTCTCTAGGGCCCTTTGTTTTGATTATCTAGTCCTGAATGTAGTTGTTGCATTGGAATCAAAGCTAGTAACAACAGATTATTGAATTTTTAAGGACAGATGAAATGTTATATTCCTGTAGTGAAACCTCAGTGGAACTGCAGGCAGGGACAAAAAAAATCAGTCACAACTTCTTCATTGGTAGACTGGATTTTCTGCAATAGTTTGCTGGTACAGGAGAGAAATTAGAACCTGTCTTCAAATAATCTGCTAAGCTTCCCCTTCCATCATTTAAAGATGCAAGAGATGGATCTGAACAGCAAAACTGGTTGTGGGGTAGATGGTAGCATAAACAAATAACATCTTGTCTGTGCTGCTGGCTTCTGCTGCAGGAGTAAATGCTAAACAAGCAGAAGTTATCAGTGGAACAGGCTGAGTTTACTTATATGTATCAGTTGGTTTCCCGAAAGAGTCTTGCCATGAGAGTATACGAAGATTCTAAACAGAACTTAAGACCTTTTTAATCTCTACCGGTTTACTGTAGAGTGAAATAATCTGTCAACTGTGTAATATAATGCCAGCCCTTACTAATAAATACCCCACTTCAGGCCATGGATAATTACTGTTATTACCCACAGACAATTTTCTGTGAAAATCTGTTGAAATCAACAGATATTTTATTAGCCATTGTATGATAAAAATGTATGGGTCCTTATCTAACCAGTTCCTGTATTTACGGCTTCTCTTTGTACCTGGTTTTAATTTAGTTCCAATAATCCATAGCAAAGGCTTACTCACTATGAAGTTGTAATAGCTCTGGTTCCAATCTAAATAATCCTAGAAGGCAGTTGATCCAAGCCCTGTGCAAACAACACTGAATTAAAAAATATCCCCAAGGAAATTCAGAGTGAAGTAGTCTTCGTAATAATAATCTTCTGGCTGATCCATCTGACCAGTATCACAGCAGGGTTCTGTGATGTCCTTAATATGACCCAAATGTTATGTCGTTGGAGAGGAGAATGGATTACTTTGCAGAGAGTGCCAATCTTTGGCTATGATCTTTTCATTTAGAATCAGAGGTTTACTGGTTCTGTCTCGGAGTTTCTAGCAGCCAGAAATAAGTCAAAGGAAGTATATTGCTCGTGGAAGTGAGCCTCAAAGTACAAAGCTGGATACTGTTAACTTGCATCGCTTCAGGCACTACTGTGTAATTCAAGCCAGTAACCACAAAGTTTCTTTAAATAGTGTGAATAGATAGTGCTGACAAAATGTGATTTTCCTTAATCATGTTGCGTATTTTTCATACAATTATTATTCTGTTTCTCTTTCCAAATGATTCCTAATATACCCTCATCTTCTCCCTCATTCCTTTCCAGCTAGATGCTTCCAATAGCCTTTATTCCTACCTGGGATCCTTCCTTCTTCCTTTTTCTGTACCATGCATGAATGCATCCTGAATGATTGGCACAGGACTTGCTAAATGGACCATGCCATTAACCAGAACAATTATGTTAATGACACTTTTAACTGCTTTTTTTTTTTTTGTTCTATCCTTATAAGCTAGTGAGAAACCTATGTTCCTCTTCACAATGTTCAGGTTTTGTTTATTGATATGCCTTTTGCAGTAGATCTGTTTCTGTAAGCAGAAAATTCTTAAGTTTAAAATGGTCCCAAGAATCATTCGTTTTCTGATTGGTGTGGCTATTTAAATTTGAGGCAATTCCTCATAAATCCAGCCTAATGAGGAGCTAGGAGAAACATACATACATAGAGTGGAAAACCAACAAAAATATATTTTTAAAAGTATGCTGTGTGCTATTTCTTGTTTGTTCATGGTGCGCACACCCAAGAGACAGGTGAGTGGAAGGAGGGATGACCCTGACTGAGCAAGGTATATGCAATCCAGTGCAACAAAGCTCTGCCTGCTTTGGAGATTGCTGGACACAGTCTCCTGGGACTTGATTCTGTCCTTTTCCATCTGGACTTCTTAATAGATAGGAACTTAGCAGCTGTTTATGCTGTGGAAAGAAGGTGCAGAAATGCCTGTAGCTCTCAGCAGCTATAAATGCTGATTTAGTCTTGCGAAATTCAGGAGCCAAAGCAAGGGAAGCTGCATGTCTGTTGGAAGGATGTGTTTATCTGGCAACTGCTGATGCACACACCCCAGTCACTGCTGAAAAGAAATTTAGACTGATTGAGTGACACTAGCCTTTGCTGAAGCTGAGATAAGGAATTCACAGCTCTAGGTGGTAGGCATTAATGGATAATTAACATAAGGAGGTAACTGGAAAAGAGGAGAAAAAGTTGTGTTCTACAGTCAATTTCTAATAACAGCTTAGAATGTGCTGGCCATAGAATCCTGGCTTGTTGACAGTTTGTCTACAGAAAAGAAACAGCCAACTTCCCCTGTGTTATACGTTGTTCGACCTCATGATTGATATGCATGGGGAGATAATTTGATTTCTATGATTTCTTTTATTTCTCTTCCAAAACCTATCAACATTGGATTCTGTGGCTACTAATTTTGTTGATTTATTTATATACATATGTATCATAAAATATGTAATATGTATAATAATAATATAGATGTGTCTGCTATGAATATGTTGAGAATTCCCAAAGTTGTGTCAGATAGGATGTCAACCATCATGGGATAGTAAGCACCTTTTACTGCTGGGTTGCGTTCAGGAGACGAGAGGCTTTCTTGTTACAAGTCTGCTAATGGCAGAAGAGAAATTATTGTACTAGGGCTGGTCAGTCATCTGGTGAAGATATCTGGTGATCAGCTTTTGAACCTTTAAGACTGTAGATTTTGGTATTTCCCCTCATTCACCTGAGGCCCCTACCCCCCAGCAGGACTATCAATCACAGGAAACCAGGCAGTCTGTACTGTTGAAATCATCAAAGCCATTCCTTGTTATGATCACCTCTAATCTGCTCAAGGTTTCCTAGCCCCATGTGTGTTTAATGAACAAATGAGTACATTTGTTTAGAATCAAAACAACAGACTACATATTGTGTGCTGGGTGGCAGGACAGTGATTAATCAAATTCCTCAGACTGCAAACTGACAGCTTTTTTTTAATTCCCACAGACCTTCTGAAGGGGAGAAACGAAGAGCTGAAACCAGACCATTACCTCCGTAAAAGCCCCTCCCTGGAATCCCTGAGCAAACCCCCTATGGCCTTCAGCAGCAGAATGCTTACCTCTACCCCCAGCAGCTTGAAACCCCAAAGCAAACTCAGGTACTAACTCAGTTTCCTGGGAAAAACAGCACACTGGAAGGATTGACAGCATGACCTGGCACCACGACGAATGTTTTAGTCTGGTGGAACCCCGTGTCCAGTAGAAACTCTGCTCGCTCGTCTGTCTAGTTCAGAATTACCAGGCTGTGTCAGATCTAAATATCAAAATTCAGATTATAATAACCACAGTTATTTGTAAGATAAGCAACCATGACAAAATGAGGACAGCAAGGTTTCAGGAGCCACTAAGTTGTATACAAGAATTCCATCATGTGTACGAGTGGTCAACCCTCATCTTACTGTAGTTTTGCATGTTATGTTGAGTTAAAAACTGAAAGCTTTGAGATCTAAAGGAGAGCTGAATGCCTAATTTTCTTCTGTCTTGAGAAAAAAACATATTTTCTCTGATCTCCACCATTTCCAACAGTAGAAGCTGTAGGGTGGGGACAATGCAGGTGTTTTGATTGTTGGCCTTTAACTGTCCTTGAGGCCTTGACTGCAATTTTTCCAGATTTTTCATTTTATTCAAGAAATCATTCTGCAGCAGCTCAATTGGATGTGAATTTGCTGTTACAGATTCTTTAGACAAGAAATCCTAGTTACCAATATGTAAAGCCAAGAGGTTACTTGAAAATCTTACATGTAAAACTGATGAAAATAATAGCAGAATTGGTGGGTTAAAACATGCCATCAAATATCCATTGGCTGCTGTTTTTTCAGCTCTTTGTATGCAGTGATACCAACTGAATTTTTCTCATCTAAAGGCAAATATAGAATGCAAACTCTGAAAGCTTAGTTTGCATTTAGGTTCTGTGCTGACATTCTACTTTGTCATAGAGATATTACTCACACACTGGTGAAAAATAAGAGATTTCAAGCATATTTATCTTCTCCCTTATTCTTCCCTGGATTAGTGTGGAGAGAAAGGACCCACTGGCAGCCCTGGCTCGGGAGTATGGTGGTTCGAAGAGGAATGCTCTGCTGAAATGGTGCCAAAAGAAGACTGAAGGTTACCAGGTAAGGGAATAAGTACATTTTTACTTTTCTCTGGAGAGTAATTAATCACTTTCCTATAGGTGTGCAGTAAGCAATGACACTTCAAAGAAATACGTGTATTTCAGACTGCTGATTTTTGCATGTTTACTTCTGCTGTGTGTTTCCATACTCTTCCTTCAGATTTCTTTAACACTGCACTCCAAAATTTTACATGTCATAAGTAACTTTAATCAAAACCTGAAATATTTACTGTGTCAAAGGTTGCCAATGGTGAGAAACAGTGTATATGTGCAGCAACTTCAATTTGGCATTGATTTTTGAAATTGGATTTTAATATCTTTTTCTATAGGCTCCTGTAGATGATATGCTATTGTGAGAGTTTTTTCATTGGTCATTTCTATAAAACCAAAGAAATAGTTCTTTGTGTGGCCTTCACCAAATCAAGCTTGTAGCCTGGGGCCCCGCTCTTTCTAATCTGCTGCAGTTTAATGGGATTTTACAAAGCAAGTTTTGACTGCTTGACAACGTCTCATTTCTTTGCGGAGTGATTTTCACTGTTAAACAGGCATAATGGTTTGTCCAGTTCTTGCATGGCCATTGCCATGCTTATCAAGCTCTGGCTAGTGCTTGTGTGCAGTTGAGTTAGGCCTTTGGTTCTGCTTGTAACTGAGCTGTAGAAGGCAATTATAGACAACAGTTCATCCTGTGATATATGCTGCTGGGCGTGCAGGATAGTCTTGGTTTGATATAATGTTGAGATTTTTCTTTCTTAAGAATAATATTGTTTCTTACTTAGAGCAGAAGACAAAAGCAGTTATCACCACATGATATGCACCCTGGAGCAAATCTTTAATAAAAGCAGAGTCCATCTTTTAAAGTAAATAATAAAATATTTTTTTTCTTCACAACCAGCTCTTTATGAAGCATTAACTGCAGGGTGCAGGAGTTTGGAAGAAAAGACAGTAGCTTTTGCTTTAAGTAAACCAATCTATAAAAGTTTGAGTCATTTCTTAGCACTGGCATATGCATCTGGCTTGCACCAATTTCTCAGGTGGACAGGTATTGAAGAAAGCTCTTGACTTTAGACATGCCTTAGAAAGAATAAAGCCAGGGTTAGCATTTAGCTTCCAGTTCTGTGATAGTGCCTGAAAGGCTACAGTGTTGTCCCCTGAAATTGTATGCTCTATGCTGTGTTAGTTTATTTTATATCTCATCTACTAGAATTCTCCTGGTCTTGGATTTGAAGGTGTGTGAGAACATTCCCATCCTCAGAAAATGATTCATGAAATACAACTTTTCCAAGTTTAACTTCTGTTAAACCAGCAAACCCATCTCTTGAGTAACGTTTTCTCCCAGCAGTGTTGCGCTTTGTGTTTCAAATGGCACATACGGTGAGCTTCCTCCACTTCTCTTAAAACAGTCTGACTCTAATGAGTTCACTGTTAAGGAGTATTCTCTGAGAGTCAGCCTGTAGTTTTCTTCCTCTGATTACACCCAAGTTAGACTAAATGTATTGCTTTTAGAAATAATTGTGTGGCTTTGCAAATATAGAGGCCCTTTCTGATTCCGTAGGTACCAGACGGGCACCAAGAGTGACAAGTATTCCCTCCATGATAGAATAAAAAAAAGTTTTGTTTTTCTATGCTGAACCCAAGTAGTGGAGCGAACTGTGTATCAGATAGCAGGCCACCCAGGAGGTATGCAAGGCAAACTGGGTCTATTTGTTTTTCCTTCTTGTATTAGTCTCTGGAGGACAGCATATCCATGCTTCAGAGGACAGTGGAAGTCTTTATATATGGCTGCTGGAGTGTTGTTGGCTACATGACTGTCTGGATTATGTTTCAGAAAAAGCTTTGTCATTTTGGTTCCTGCTCTGATGAGGCTCTTGTTCTGTTCATAGCTGTCCTCTGTCGTTACTCTTTCTAAAGCAGCAGAATGAGTTTTCAGCAGTTTTTGAGAACAAGCAGGTAAAACACTGAACAAACACTTGTGTAATCCAGGAGAGTTGAAGTTCAGACTGTGATGTGGTGGGGGGCCTTATTACCCAGACTGTAAGATATGAGGGCAGAAATTTAAGTCAGATGAACCAAAGGACGAACATGGTATTGATTTATGGTGAGAGTCTTGCCTCTGTCTTCGCTGCCTCTTTTAGAGGCATTATCTCTTGGACATTCTTACTCAGATTCTCATTCCCATTGGGCTTTTTGCAGTGCATTCATTAACTCTTCTTGAACTTGCTTTTCCCAGACCCTTGTGCTCTTATGATAAGGCTGATATTAAGCTCCACAGGGAGTTTTTATCATTCTTGAGTACAAAGAGCTGGAGTAGAGTAAAAAACGTCATCGTCCTTCCTGCTTTAGCAACTGCAATGGTGAGAATGAGGTAATGAACTCAACCAAGCAGAAGCCTGATGACGTGCATGGCTCCTTTTCCATTAGGTAATACCACTGTCTGTGAGGCATCATCTATGCAAATCCCAGTATAATCTGTCATGTTCTTTCTAGCATGAAGCCCAGAACCACAAATAACTATGGATGCAAACTGTTCTCAGCTCCGTGACACGGTGGAATGAGTGAATAAAGGACTTGCTGCTTGTCCGCCTAACTTATTTTTCAGTGGCAAAATGTACTGCCTTTGAGGTCTAGTAACAGTTCCTCATCTGAGCTGGTGGGGAAGAGGGAGATTCCTTTCTGTTTAAATTATGGAAATACCAGATTTCATTAAACAGTATGAGGAAAATGGATTAAAATAACTGATACTCTCAGTAGCAGCTACTACCCATATCCCAGATTCCCTGAGGAAAGCTGGATTAGTGACCCAGGAAGGTATCTGGGGGTAAGACCTAGAGACCAGCACACAAAGCTCCACTTTTTAAATGCTTTAATCCATACAAGGCTTATACTATAGACAGACATTTACATCCTCCTCCTGGCATTTATCCTTGCATTGACTGCAGTGGGAACATTCCCTGGCTTTGAACTTCAGTGTGTTCTCCAGGAGGCAATCTCATAAAACAAGAGAGGGACACTGGAGGGGGTTGAGAGAAGTACAACACAATAGTAGTGTTGTGGAGTGGCAGTGGAGGGTTTTGTTTGTTTGTTTTTTAAAAGAAATTGTATGAGTTTACAGTAACTGAGGGGAAACATGAAAGCATCTATGTTTCTCTTAATCTGCTATGCCATTTCTAAGATCCCTATTTAAACAGTGATTTGATATCAAAAAGATATGAATGCTAAGGAGAAAGAGTAATTCTTTAGAACATGAAAACAGAATCACTAGATTGAAAAGTGGAAGTTCAGTTTAATGACTAGGAGAAAAGAATATGAAAGTGGGATTGCGTAAACTGTGGCATGATTGATCATATGATTTCAGTTGTCATACTTCAATGCCTAGATGAGTGTTATCTGGCATTTTGGCTATTGATTTTGAATAATTATGCAGGGGAGGTGCTAAAAAAATCTCAGCAGTAAAAAATTGTAGTGAAATACGGCTTTGGGCTCTGGCTTTGTACAAAAATTCTGTGAGGAAAATCTCCAGCTTAAGAAAAACAACCTTAATCTAATGTATGGTTCCTTATAAAAATTGTGCACTGGCACATCATCTCTTTAGCCAGACATACATAGACTGTTCCTTCTGCCTCTCTGAATTTGTTGACATCATGGTGTATAATGTAGGGTGATGAGATGACCAGACTTGAGAACTGCTTTTGTGGCTCTGGAATTCAATTACCACAAGTCCTTTAAACCACAGAGCCTGCTGAGAGTAAGTTATTTATGTTAAAATAGCTTTTTCTCTGTTGTCTTGTGGTTGTTTTTTTTTTCCCATCTATTTAAAAAGATTATACATCATAGCAACAGTGTAAAGTAGAAATTGGGTGCTTCTTTCTAATAGGCTCTGTTCCCATGAGTTTTAACTCCTGGAAGCTGCTGAGAGTCATTCTTGTTGCATTATCACCTTCCCTAATCATATCATTAGTGACTGTGGTGTTATTTAAGTGCCCTGGTTCTGTTTGCTCTCTGTGGAGACCATTTGTCAAGGGGCCAAACCTCTCTAGATTAAGTCTATCCACAGATGTATTGTGAAAACACAGAACATCAAGAGGCACTTAACCCATGATCATTGGAACTGAGGATTATTGTTTCTGCCACATATACCCTCTCCAGAGATAGGAGGGAATTGCTACCATGTTAATGAATATGGTTCACTTAAAAGTACCGTTTTGATGTGTTTTTCCAACCACTACACATCCATTCTATGGCACGAAGGAAAAGAGAATCTGAGACTGACTCTTTTGTCCCATGCACCATCATGATTATTCTTTTTATCAAAGTTATATTTGGTTTAACAGGACCCATTTGGGATCCACTTGTTGAATAACCACCATCTTTTATTGTAAAGTTATCTGTGCGGTGCAGTTGTCTTTAGAGGAATGCTAAATAGGAGGAGACAAGGAATGTTCTAGAACTGACAAAGGGAAATGGCAGCTATACCTCTGAAGATTTTTATAGTTCATATATTCCTGACCTGTGCATTCAAGCCATTGCATTATATCATCTCCCTGACTGTGACAGCGTCAGTACATCAGCTTATGGATAAGGCGGTGGGCATGTTGAGGAGAAGAGGCAGTGCTCCCTATTAGCACTGACACCAATAGGAGATGGCTGATAAATTGGTATTGCTCTTATTGGTATTTGTGGGACCAGCCTCAGAATCAGATTTCATGCCATCTGGAGGAATCTCAACACCATGGAGAAACTACTAACCAGAGCCATCTTTATGTAGCTTTCATGTTGTACAAGTAGCTCCTGGAGGAAAAAAAAAACCAACTTTTAATTATTCTGCATAAAATACACTAGCAACTATGAGCAGAGCTAGAAGAAAATGATTTATTTGTTTCCATGCCTTATTTGGATTTATTTGACTTTGCAGTAGGTCCCAGGAACAATGTGCAGTTTTAGAAAGTATGGTTAGGAGTATGTAGGAACTATTTTTAGGGCATTACTTTCTGACATTGTGTTGTT